AGGCCGACTAAAGACAACAACAATTTTCACAGGAGAGACGATCACAGAAATTATTTTAAAATAGAAGCAGCATTACACCGTGAAATGTGTTACACAAGTCACGCAGTAACAGCCTGTCACTGCAGTGCAACGAATATCATTCAGAGTAAAAGATAAATTCCGCAGCCGCTTTTGGCAAGAACTACAGGCCAATCAACCAATGACACCCTTCTCTTTCAACTTACTGACAAGAGTTGGGACGTCCTCCACAAATCCACCTGCTTTACGAGCTGGAGGTTCCGTGACCTAAATATTGAAACACTATTTAAAAAAGAACCATTTCGTTGCCACAAAAGAAACTATAAGCAAGGGAGGAATCTCTAAATCACCGTCCTTCTGAAATATAAGAGAGCTTTCAACGAAGTTAAAAAGCACTCAAACCTCTAGAATTTCCGTCTGCACCTTTATTTCAACACCATAATCTGACGGCTTCTTCTTTGCTAAAGGCTTTTTCTTTGCCTTCATAATATTTGGTAGCGTTGCATACCGCGGTTCATTTAGCCGCAAATCTGCACTGATCACTGCCGGCAGCTTGACGCGTTGCATTTCAAAACCACCATCGATTTCTCTATAAAGTAATAAAACAGCCATAATACAGACTAATTTAATCCATTCTAATGAAAACTTAAAAACCCCAGCGAAAGTACATGAAGAACCGTTAACAGTAAAACTAAAAAGAGTTATCGAGCCATTCCATGCCAAATTGCACAAGTTTGAACCCTAACCTCTCAAATTTTTCTCATTTTTTGCCAACTTGCACTTGTTACCGAATTCCGAAATCAAAAGAGTTTACCTCAAAAAGTGAGTTGGCGGCAAAGTTAGATCGTTCTAAAGTGCGAAAAAAAACGCAATTCACCCTCGACATGGTCACCTTCAACAACTTATATATCTCGCAGTTCACAACGGATTTTTTTCAATTTTACTCTGTTTGAAAGCTTATCTCCTGCAGATTCAGAAAAGCGGTGAAACACTTAAATTAGCAAATCTTATTTTAGATTAAAATAAAAACGAAAATTCAAAACGTTATTTTAAATTTTTTAAAAAGTTATATTTCGTGAAGCAATAATTTTTACACAACTTGTAAAAATCACAAGGTGGTATCTTTACGGACTCACGAGACATGGTAAGATTAGTGACAGTAGACTGGAAAAAATT